CTGGGGGTGGGCTGTGCCGGGGACACCTGCGGGGCAAGACACCCTGAAGCTCTGCTGTGGGCAGGCAGACACCCAGCAGCACGAGCAGGCTCCCCAGAGGAGATGCCAGCTCTGGTCTCTGCTTCCCAAGGGATGGGACAAGAGGAAATGGCCTCAAGCTGCCCCAGGGCAGGTTTAGCTGGAGCTGAGGAACAATTCCTTGCCCAGAGGGTGGCACGGGGGCTGCCCAGGGCAGGGCTGGAGTCACCGTCCCTGCAAGTGTTCCCAAACCATGTAGGTGAGACCCTCAGTGCCAGGGGTTAGTGGCGGCCTTGGCAGGGCTGGGGAATGGTTGGACTTGAGCTTGAAGCTCTTTTCCAACCTGGTTGGTTCTATGATTTTAAAGCCCTTTTCCAGGCATTTCTGGCTGCCCTTCCTCAGTGGAGTCTGCAAACTCCGGGTGTGAATCCACACGAACTCTGGGATCCTGAACCCAGTGCGTGTGCGAGTATCAGGGAATTAGTTAAATCCCAAACTCCTACAGTCAGCTAACGGCACGTAACCGACAGCAAGAGTTTCCTCCCTGCCATGCCAAGGAGTGAATATGGTAACACACCACAGGCAATGCAGAGGAAACCACCTTCCTTTTGATTTCACTTAAAGAGAGTTTAAAAAGCACTCTGGAGACTCCCACGTGGGCAGGAATCAGGGATCAGCTGGCAGAGGGTGACAATCAGCTGCAGGGCTGGGAGCACTCGATCCCACTCTGACGCACGCAACCACGCACGGGTCCAACCACCATCTCCACTTGGGTTCAGTAACTCATTCACAGAGCACAAACAAATTCCAGCTTGGGAGTGGATAATCTGCTTGCAAAATGAAGCTGGGTTCAATTTCCCCTGGATCCCTTCAGCTAAACAAGCTCTCAGAAGCAACCGGTACAAGCAAAGCCACATATTTCCTGCTTTGATTTGGGGAGAACAAAGGGAAAAGTCAGGGAGGGCAAAGGCACAACCTTGCTGGTGCTTCTGCGAGGGCTCTGTAATTACACCACCACACTCAGGGAGCAGTTCCACTTGGGTACTCGCTGTCAGGCAGCATATGGATATTAAACTTTTGGATGCCTGTCTAACTGATGGAGCAGGTGGCGATCCTGATGGAAAGCTGGCATTTGGTAAGCTGGCAGGAGCCACTGGAGCTGATTGCCTAAGAGGGGAGCGTTTAACCCCAGTAATTGAGCAGAGAGAAGAGAGTGAAAATACTCTTTCCAAACTCCAGACCTTGTCAAGCAAATGAACGTGTTGCTGAAGTTTGCTGCCTGGTGGTGTTGGAGAGCATTAAAAGCACTGAAAAAACAAGGGGTTTAACCCATTGTAGCAGGAAGCTACAAGGTTTTCCTCTGCTTTCCCCAAGGCCCAGGAACCCCCCGGCACCTCCAGCCCCGCAGCAGCAGACCTGTGGTTGAGCTGGGGAAGGGGCATCCGGGTGCTGGACAAGGATCTGACTCTGCTCCGGACGCGCGGTCACCATCGTGCTGGCTGAGCCCACCACCAGGTTGCTGCCGTTCAGTGAGGAAGACGCCGTCAAGCTGGCCTTCAGCCTCTGTTAGAGGAGGAGAAGCACATCAGTGGACGTGTTCTTCATGCTGTGAAGGCTTTAACCAGCTCCTCTATCATCCAAGCAGCTGGGCTGCTGGGGATTGGGCTCTTCAGAGACTACGGCTGATTCAAACCCAACCGAAAGCCATCACCATCTGGCCTTCCCAAAGGCAGCTTCCAACTTAGGCCCAAGCAGACAGGTGTCCACATCCCAAAATTACTACTGCAACTGGCACCAGTTCACTCCCAGCTGGCAGAATCTGCAGACAGACCATGGACTGAACAGGCTGCAGAGCCCAACTGTTCTTCATCACCTGCAGAGGGGTCCTTTGGGATGGAGAAGGACCTACACAGCACTGAGACCATGTCTCGCAAGCAGCCAGAGCAGCCAGATAGAGGCCGGTGGGGCAGGATGGCTCCTTCATGCCTCAGTGTTTAAGGTGTCTCACCCCACTTGTAGCTCTGATCTGCCCCTGAATCCTGCAGACACCAAAACGGGGTGCAGTGGGAACAGTGACAATGCACCAGCAATGATGAGCAGCTCTAAGAGGTGGGTTTGCAAACACCTCCACCCCATCCAGGCCAAAACATCAGGAGGGGTTCACAGAATCAGAGAATCATGGACGGGTTTGGGTTGGAAGGGAGCTAAAAGCTCATCCAGTTCCAACCCCCTGCCACAGGCAGGGCCACCTTCCACTAGAGCAGGTTGCTCCAAGCCCCTGTGCCCAACCTGTCCTGGGTTTGCTTCCCCCCTTCTGAGAGCACCTTGTTTGAGTCATGAAGAGCCAAGAGAGGAAAACTCTTTCATAAACTCCTAAAGGGATTTACAGGAAAGCCATTCCCAGGATCCTTGGATTACAGCACAACATCTCTTCTCTTGGCTCTGCCTTCCCCAAGCCCACCTCCAACCCATCTGTTATCTTGGAACTAGACCTAAACAGCCGCGTTTTGGATGGGGCCGAGGTTTGCCTTGACAGCAACGTGCCTCCTCTGCCTGCCAGAGCCGCAGTGCTGATGAGCCTGAGATTCCTGGTGGCATTTCCAACACCTGCTCCTGGAATGGGAAGATGCTCCAATAGCTCCGCAGGATTCCCGAGAAGCCAGTGAAGACTCAGGGACAACACCATGGACGTGACGCCCTCCCCAGCATGGATTCCCCACTTACCAGTTTGGCTTCAGAGTGCACTGGAAGTCCCGATGGGGAAATGGACCCGCTGCTGTTGATGGGCGAAAAATGCGGCACGATGGCCATGGGCCGAGCCAGCTGTCGGGGAGGAAGCAACACAAGGGGTTTGGAAGCTGAGGTGGTTTCACGTGCTCTGTGAAGCAGCTCTGTAATAATTCCCCAACTGAGCACATTTATAAAGCCTGACAAACGTTCAGCCTTTAACTGCTGCCATCAATTCCTGATGCTGTCACCGCACGGCA